GTAACGGAGGTGAGATTCTGTCTCAAAACAAAAAAAAAACACCGCAGTCAAAAATTTAAATTAAGATGATATAAAAGTAAAGCTTAGGAATAAAAGAGCTTTAATTTTAGGAAATGAACAGAAGATACACTAAATAATCTTTCTGTGTATAACCACTAAGATCTATCATTTCCTTTTAGGGCTAGTTCAGAAATAAGTCTGACACAAATAGAATCAGAAATAAGTGTTTATTTTACCTTCAGTCATGTCTATTTTACTTAAAATATACCTGCATGACAGAGTACTTAAATTCTTACATTGACAAGTATTTCAGTCCATAAGGTATATAAATATACTTTCCATTTCCAATTGCCGATTTCTAACCTCTGTGAAAAACCTACCACACCCACTGAACTGGAGCAGACCAGTGTCTTTTAGTGCACTGGTACATCCAAAGAGGAAGTATGAAAGGTAAGAAACCCTTTTCCTAGTTAAGCAGATCATGCATTAATACATCACTGTTTCTCAGCAGCAACGGGATCTGAACAAAGATAGGTAAGCAAAACATCATCAATAGTGAAATTTAAATGCAGTGTTTTTAGCATGCAGTATTTGTGTACATGGGCTATTCTGAACTGGTTTAAAAGTATAAGGTGGGAAGGATATTCCAATGTGGGCATTGAAATTGGGCTAAAATTTCTTGAGCATGATCCATGTACAGAAGTGCATGATTCAGGCTTCTTTAACAAGCTGAGAAAATGTGTTCTTTTCGGTTCCATGGTGTTGTCTAACCTCATTTGCTTTTCAAATGAAAACAGGATTGTGAAAGCAAAAGCATTATGATGGCAATTTTGGAATTTTTCAATCATATAATTGATTGAGGTATAATATTGGGTAAATTTTGGTCCATGAGATACTTGCTGTTGACAGTTGGCAATGTGGAATGAGTATCTGGAATACATTTGCCAACATTTTTACCAGGAAAAAATCCTAACCCTGCAGAAACTTGCTGATAAACCGCAGTTACTCTTAAAAGTTAGAATCTGGTATATTATGTACTATTTTATCTGAGCTCCTTAGGAGAGCAGATGTACTTTCATTATCTTTTTAAAGGAGAAAATCGAAAGCAAATTCCTCTTAGTATGTTCCCTTAAAATACTTGTAGTTAATATTTCCAATGGCCGTACAAAAGGTTTATTCCTTTTGGAAGTTTTCTTTTAGTGCATAACGTGATTATGGTACTTTGTTCTTGTAGAGTATTTTACATATCTTTATCATATTGTACATAGCATGTAAACAAAAGATGTTTCTTAAGAATCAATGATTTTATGTTACTACGATGTAATGAATATAAGCCCTGTTAATATTGCATGTGCTTTTAGTCTTCCAAACACCTTCTTGATGACTGTTATCTGATTGCCCTATCGTCGATAAGGGAATATTGTAAGTAAGGTCATAGATATTAGTGACTTGTCTAAGGGTGTATAACTAAGGCATTAATAAATGGACTTGAACACAGGCTCTTCCGCTTCTAGTCTACTTGCCTTCTGCACCGATGTTCATTCGTGTTCATGAAGCACATTGTACGCGTCAGTAATTTTTTGAATGAAATGAAGAAGGGCTGAGAGCTGAATTTTGCCTAATATCAGGGGTCCAACCAACTCTTGGGTGTAAGTGGTGTATCATACAGTAGGATTTACTAAAGTTACATTTATCTTAGGACACTATTTTAACAGTTATACTCTTTAAAGTTTCTGGTATAGCAAGACTTCTTTAAGCTGAATTTTAGACTTTAGTATCTGTATAATGAAAAAAGGTATATTGAAAATTTAATCTTCATTTGAGCTATCAGAAAAAATGAACAGTACATAATCTCTTCCTTTTATTCTTCTGTATATTTTTTCAGTATACTTTGAGCTCAGGTCATTTGTCTAGAGTCAATTCACTATAATCATCTCCATATACCAGGTTGCCTAAATTCAATTCCATCTCCTTTGTTTCTACTCGTATCCATGTGTTGTTAAGTTGGCATGGGAGGGTGTTTAAGGAATTATTTATAGCAGTTATACATACGGGAGGCTCCCATTTCTTATTGATTTTACTTTAGGATGGAGGGTCTACTGTTTGCCAGCTGGTTTGACTGCTTATCAGCATTGTCTTCAGTCTCTGTATGATCAGCCTGCACGCCTGGCTCCTTTATTTTTATACTTCGTATATGTGTATGGGTATATGGAGGATCTAATGAATCATGGATTTTTCTTGTTTTCTTCTAACGCACCAGAGAAGCATTGGAGGATTTTATGTACTTTGTTTTTGTTGTTGAGTCGAGTCTCGACTTCATTGCCCGGCGTAGGGTGAGTGCCTGCCATGCCGTCAGCGCTAGCTCATAGCAAAGTTTCATCTCCTGGCTACGATGCGCTCCTGCCTGAGCTCCGAGGTAGTGATACGGCATGCGTCACGATGCCGGTAATTTTGTTCAAGTATATGATATTTTAGTTGATCAATTAGGTTTCTTTCGTTGTTTGGTTAAGTAGAGATGGGTTCTCGTCAGGCTGGTTTCAAACTCCGACTGGAGGTCCACCTCGCTCGTGGCTTCCCAGAGTGCTATCAGTGATGCCGCGTCGCTGTCAATGGCGATTACCTGCAAGTGCTGCATTTCCTCTTTTTTTTTTGACAGAGTCTCGAGTTGTTGCAGGCTGCAGAGTGATGTGCCCTGGCGTCTAGTAGCAGCAACCGTCATCCTGGGGTCGGTTGATCTTCTGCCTCAGGCTCGCGGGTAGCTGGGACTAAGGCATGGCGCCACCGGATGCGCCGGCTAATTTTTAGTTGTATATATATTAGTTGGCATATTTCTTTCGATTTAGTAGTGAGACGGGGTTCTCGCTCTTGTCAGGGCTTGGTTTTGAATCCTGACTTGGCATCCCG